TTTTTTTTTAACCATAGAGGGATCACAAAAATGCACTTACTGTTAACACTTCTAATTTTTTACTTCTGCTTCCTGTAATGACCTTTTCTTTCTGATTACTATCCCCTGTTCCAAAACAAATAAATAAAAACAGGTATCTGGTGAGAGGCACGTTAAAAGTCACACAGTTTAAGGATAATTGTGTAACAATGAGCAATCTATATCTTACCTGCAATATACTTCATTCGTCTGTAGAGAAAGAAAATTTGACAAAATATCAGCTTCATTATGCTAATACATGGTGAAAAAAATCGATTTCATTCAATAGTCAGCACATGACTATTATTACATCATCCTATATTCCCAGGAAAAAAATTAAATATTCTATGAGGAATAATAAAATGGTCTGCATCAACTACCACTACACACTTAATACACCATCAATAAATTCTATTTAGTTAATGAAAATTCAGCTCCAACTCTAATTTTGAAGCTATGATATTTTGTACCCTGAGGAACTCTTTTTGGATAATGATAAAAGCAGCTTCATTCTATAAATTTTTTGGATTTTTCTCTCCAGGGTCAGACAGATGGAAAGACACACAGATGCTCAGAGAGGATACCTGCATGGATTACCCATCCTAGGCTCACTCTCAGCAATGGTCAAACAGCTGTCCATCAAAGTACTTGCAAAAAAAAATAATAAGGGAGAGTTGTTTATTTCTAAATGTATTTGTTTAAAACATCTTCCCACCGAAAATCTGTTGCAAATGTTCTATGATATAATTCAATAATTTGTTGTTACTAAAAAGAGAGGTCCCCAACTGTTTCTGGGATGGAGTGGGTTTGGGATCATCGGTGAAAAGGGTTTTGTATCCCAAATGCTTTCCTCTGTGCCCAACAAAAGCAAAATTAAACAGAGCCCTCAGATTGGAGATCACCGAACTTCAATTGATTTTTAACTCTTCATATCAAAAAGTTAGAAAGAAAAAAAATCACATACTTGGATCTGGACTTGGAGACTTCTTTGGTCATTAAGTGACAGCACTCCATAATGTTTCCATATCTCCAAAGCAGAAAACACACCCAGGAAACCAATCCAGCAAAGAAAATAGCCATCAGAGTGAAGATGAAAGGAATGTACCAGTCCTCGGATTTGTATGTGTTGATAGCTGTGTACACAATGGTCAGACCTTTTCTTTGCTGGGAAAATTATTTCAAAGCAAACAGAGCATTAGTTGGTGTTTTCAGAGAGCATCTGTTCACACACACAGTAGCATCCGCACAGAGCCGTAATTGCACAC